GAATTTGGGAGCTGCTTTAGCGGGCTGCTGTGACTCAGGGTCCGTCACGGAATCTCAGGCAAGATGTCACCGAGGGGCTGCTGTTCACCTGAGGACTTGACTAGGCCTGGAGGATCTGCTTCCTGGAGGATCTCCAGCCTTCTTGGCTGACTCACATGGCTGGCCAGTTGGTGCCAGCTATTGGCAGGTGGCCTAGTTTCTCTGCATCTGTGCTGCTTGGATGTCCTCACGTGTAGAGGCTGGCTTCCCAGAGCGGGAGACCTATGAGAGAGCCAAGACGGAGCCTCAGTGTCTTTTATGACTTTGCCTCAGAAACCACAACTGTCATTTCTGGAATATCCCATTGGTTGCAAAGCCCAGCCCTGTTTGATGTGGGAGGGGTACTACACAAGGGCGTGGATACTGGGAGGTGGGAATTATTGGGGGCCACTTTGGAGTCTGGGTACAATACTAGCTACATTGCCTAGCAACGTAGAATGTTGGTGCTGGTTAAAATCCAACACAGAGATAGCATTTTCTAGTGTTAATTGGGTTCCAGAAGCTGACAGCATAAAGCTTTCAGGTTTCCATGATTTTTTTTTTTTTAGGTTTCTATGGTTTTATAATAAAAATTGGACTTAAGGGCTTTTGCTTGCTGATAATGTAAACATTGGAAAGGATTAACATAAAACATAGATAGTATTTTGGGGGGGTATTTGATGATTTAAAAATCCTAAACATTCAGTTGGGTTTAAAGAAAGACCATCTCCCAATATAGTCAAGTTAACATTATCATGATTTAAAAAAACAGTAATTCTTTAGTATTGCTTAATCCCCAATCCAAGTAGTCTGCCAAATGTCCTTTTTGGTTGGTTATACAGAACCATACATTGCATTTGGTCGTTATGTCCCTTAGAGTTCTTTTATTCAAAAGCAGGCCCTTTTATTATGACCCTGACTTGGGAAGTTCTGCAGAATGTCCCACTTTCTGGGCTTGTCTAATTGCTTCCTTGCTGGGAAGCTTAGCCGGTTTCTCCATCCCTTGAATTTCCCATAATTGAAAGTTAGGTCTAAAGTTTTGATAGGCTTACATTAACCCTCTAAACTAGAAGACATTATAAGAGATGGACTTCATGTTTCTGCATATCAAGAGACACATGAACTCTAGTGTTCGTGATATTGTAATATAATAACAAATATGCATTTGGTCTGTGATAAAATAAGAAATATATTTGGTCTTCGTCCCTGGCTCCTGGCACAAGTGCTTCTTTTTTTTTTTTTTTTTAAGATTTTATTTATTTGACAGAGAGAGAGATAGCAAGAGCAGGAACACAAGCAGGGGGAGGGAGAAGCAGGCTTCCCGCTGAACAAGGAGCCCGATGTGGGGCTCGATCCCAGGACCCTGGGATCATGACCTGAGCCGAAGACAGACGCCTAACGACTGAGCCACCCAGGCACCCCAAGCGCTTCTTAAACCCTTAGAATTTCCTGAGTGGTATGGGAGAGAGGAGTGTCTTGTTATTCATAAAAAAAACCCTTTCCACCGTACCTGGGTTTATACTAATGAAGTGACTCTTTGGTGGATCCCTACATAGCCTCAAAATGGGGGCTGGTTGCCAGTGGAATCAACCATGTGATTAGAGGCTTGGAACGTATCCTGGCGCTGGGAACATGATGCACCCCAACTCCACAGGGACAGAAACTCCTGCACTAGAGATCCTTCTGGTCCTCACCCTATGTACCTTTTCACTCGGCTTTTCGTCTGTATTCTTTGTAATGTCCTGTATACTAGACCAGTCAGCACAGGCAAATCTTCCCCTGAGTTTTGTGAGCCATTCCAGCAAATTACTGAACCTGAGAAGGGGGTTTGTGGGAACTCCTGATGTATATATATAGCCGGTTGGTCAGAAGTATGGGAGACCTGGACTTGCGATTGGCATCTGAAGTGGGGGCGATGTAACCTGGGGGGTCTGGGCTAACTCTGGGGAGTTAGGGTTGCAACTGAATCAAATCGTAGGACACCCAGTTGGTGTTTGCAGAGAACTGGAGAATTGGTTGGTGTGGGAAAAACAGCCCCACACATCTGGTGTCAGAAGTGTTGTAAGCAGAGAAACAGCTTTCCCTTAGTGTGTAAGATAACGCCAGGGTTAGGGGTTGGCAGCCTGGTCCCTTCGTGGGGGGACCCCTTGTGGCTAGATGGTAATGACGGGGATGTTACTCTGGCATTGCACAAAATCCAGCTCCCCACTTACAATTGACTTCACAGTTTCAACATTAAGGAATAATCCTCGATGGAATCAATAATTTCATTAGGCTTGGAAAATGATGATTTTCCAGTTCTGTCAACCCTTTTATGTGTATAAGCTGGCGGTTTTCTGTAAGGCAAAGCTTTCTCTCATCAACTGAAATACAGTTCCTGCTGGAAATGTAGAATCAATGGGAATGCCTTTCTTTTACATGACTAATTTTCAAAGCAAGGGGTTGGTTTTACAGTCAACCCAAAGAATAACAAATGAATGTTTTTTTCCTATTGCCTTGGATTTCTCTTCTTTGATTATCACCCTGGATTTGTGGATTTTTATTGATTCATGTGTTTCAAGCAACTGTGTTCATAATGTTTTGATGCTCTAGAGCATCTTTAACAACTCTTTTGAGGTATAATTAACTTGTGGTAAACTACACATACATATACACAGTGTACAAGTTGATGAGTTTTTGACATATGCTTACATCAATGAAACCATCACCAAATGAAGATAATGGATGCTTCCATCGCCCTCAAAAGTTTTACTCTGCCCTTTGTAATTCATCCCTGCTTCTACCCTTGTCCCCAGGCAACCACTGATATACGGTCTGTTCCTATTTGTTTTCATTTCCAAGAATTTTAAATAAATGGAACCACACAGTGCCTTCTAGTTTATGTCTGGTTTCTTTCATTCAACGTAATGGTTCTGACAATCATCCATGCTGTTGTGTGTATCACTAGTTTGTTCCCTTTTAAAAATTAAAAAAAAATTAGGCAGCTTTATTTAGGTGTAATTGACATATAATCAACTGCATGTATTTAGCATGCACACTTGGATAAGTTCTGATCCATGAATATACACCATAAAACATCACTATAAACAAGATAAGGAAATCATACATCACTCCCCAAAATTTTCTTTTGCCCCTCGGTAGTCCCTCCCTTCTGCTTTTCTCTCTGTCTCCATCCCTAAGCAACACCGATCTTGCTCTCTCTACAGATTTGACTACATTTTCCGGAATGGAATCATGTAGTATGTGCTCTTCTTTTTGAGATTCATCTGTGTAAGTTCATGTATCAATAGTTCACTTTTTTTATTGCTGAGTAGTACTTCATTGAATAGATAGACCACAGTTTGTTTATCCATTCACCTGTCAATGAGAGTTTGGGTTGTTTCCATTTTTGGGCTATTATAAAGAAACCTGCTATGAATTTTTGAGTACAGTCTGTGTGTGAATGTATACTTTCATTTCTTTTGGGTAAATACCTTAAAGTGGAATGGCTAGGTCATATGTAGGTGACTTTTTTTTTTTTTAAATAGTCCACACCCAGTGTGGAGACCAACACGGGGCCCGAACTGACAACCCTGAGATCAAGACCTGAGCTGAGATCAAGAGTAGGATGCTTAACCGACCAAGCCACCCAGGCGCCCCTGACGGTTGGTTTTTAAGAGCACTGACAAAACTGGTTTTTGAAGTGGTCAAACCATGTTACCTTCCCACCGGCGGTGTATGAGAATTCCAGTTGTCCTCCATCCTCACACTTGGTGTGGGTGGTCTTTCAGTGTAATTATTCCAGGGGCTGCGCAGTGGTGTCTCATTGCAGTTTTAACTTGCCTTTCCTTGATGACTAATGACGTTGAGCATCTTTTCATGTGCTTATTGGCCATTCATGTATCTTTTCTCGTGAAGTGTTGATCCAGGCCTTTGGCCCGTTTTTGAAATTGGGCTCTTCACCTTCTGAGTGTATAAAACACCAAGTATATAGAGTTATTAACATGAAAACTGTTTGCACGGAGACAGTGGATTCTGGTCCTGTCATGACCAGAAAGCTGCTGGCGGTGTGGTAGAAGGGAACTGTAACTTCGTGGGCAAATGCAGCAAAGAGGGTCACATAGCAGAGGAGGAGGGCAGGTGGAAGAGAGGGAAGGATGAGGTTGGCAGGCATTTTATGGCTCTAGAACCTCTAAAATGGGGCCCATGTGACTGCGAGGATCATTCCATCTGCACACCTCTTTCCACTTTTTGGTCCCAGCCCATGGCTCCCAGGCAAAAATCCTTCAGATTACGAACATAAATGACCAGGAAATTTGGCCGTAAAGCATAAACAATGTAAATTAATCCCATCTCCAAACTGATATTTGTGTGAAGTAAAAACGGCCAGGAGTATGGGTTTGGTGATCTTTACTCTGTTGCTTCAAAGAGGTTTTGTAAATCACGGGGCAATGACTTTGCCAATCGTGATGATAAGGATTGGGAGATTCTATACTTTTTGTGCATGTAACAATTTTGAGAGTAAGTCCTGGCCTAGTATTACTTCTTCCCTTTGTGAAGGGCAGGGCCCTGGTCAGTGTGTCCATTTTACAGTGAAACAAACTGAGGTTCTGTCAAGTTGGGAGTAGTGGGGCCAGGACTCCTTCTCTAGTCCAGAGACCTGGGTGGAGTCATTCCCAGGGCAGGGCCTAGCATCACCTCGTTGCGATCTCCCAAGTTTACCAGCTCTAAAATCATAGATCTGGCCTGTTAATACCCAAAATTCAACTGAGTACATTTTAAAGATGTAATTGGTTTTGTGAAACAATTCACGAATCAGGCAGCATCCCATCTAGCAAGTAGAAGGGCTCCAATGAGGTGTACCAAAGGTTTTTGTAGGAGGAGGGCAGGGCAAGAAAGTTATCAACAAGAGAAAAGGGTCATTCCAGGCAAGGCTGCATTCCTGGGGAGGGAAAGGCAAGGGGTCTCATCATGCAGATTACCTCATCTTTCTTTAGGGGTCAGAGGGGGCCCATGTGTGGTGCACTCATCGGCACTGATGGAAAAATTCCGAACTGGCCGGTTAAGACGTTTCCGGGGTAGGTTGACGCTGCAATTAGATTAGGTATCAAGTCCCGGTTTGGGAACTTGGTTTAAGTGATACCATTTGGAGCCTGTGGTTTTGTTTTTAATAGTCCTATCTTCTCTTCTCTTTTCCCCCGTTGATTTATTGCACAATCAAGCACTGTTCACAAAACAAACAACAAAAAGAGAAACAACTGTGCCTGTTAGACTTCGGAAGCAAAGAAACTCGAGTTAAGTCTTGTTAACCTCCAGGGACCAGCGTCCACAACTAGGCAATGGACAGCCACCACTCCTGCCCTGTCATCTTAGGAGATTCCACGGACCCTCTCCTGGAGCCCCACTCCGAAACCAGCCGAGACCTGGCCGTCCGGGCTTGGATTTGTTTCTAACTCAGGCCCGCAGGTGGCCCCTTGAGGCCACGGAGCCTCGGTCTTCCCGACTCAGGCGGGGCCGAGCTGGGCGGGGGGTGGGGGCGTGGTGGGGGTGAGGGGGACAAGTCACAGCTCCGGTGTTGTGCGCGCGGCAGCGAGCCCGGCAGCGCCCTCCGTTCTTGCCGACAGCGCCACCCAGCGGCCAGCCTGGCGAACCAGTAGCCATCGCCGGGAGTCGGTGACGCAGGCTCGGGTGCGGGGCGGGTGGAACAGCCCAGCGTCGGCCCGGATCCGGATCCGGTCCTGCCGAAACCATCCCCGGCAGGGCGGGGCTGTCTCCCCACGGAGGCTGGATGGCGACGCATAGGCTAGACGGAGCCACCGCCGTGGCTTCTGCTGTTGTGACCGAAGCTTTCCCCCTTTCCCTGTGCCCCCATGCACCGGGCTGTGCAGGGGGGAAGCCCCCCGCGTGGGCCCGCAGCACGTTCACAGACTGCGTGGTCCCTGCAGGTTGCCATCTCCTCCTTCCCCTCAGGTCTCCCCGGGAATGCCTCCCTCCTCCCTCCTCCCTCCTCCCTCCTCCCTCCTCCCTCCTCCCTCCTCCCTCCTCCCTCCTCCCTCCTCCCTCCTCCCTCCTCCCTCCTCCCTCCTCCCTCCTCCCTCCTCCCTCCTCCCTCCTCCCTCCTCCCTCCTCCCTCCTCCCTCCTCCCTCCTCCCCCCTCCCGCTCCGCAACTTCGTCCTTCCCTTTTTTCTTTAAACTCCGTAGTGATTTGGACACCCAGGTGTCTGGCGGTTGAATGGCCCAAGAGTGCGGTCGAGAGACTTGGGATTCGGATGCAGCTGTGCCACGTCTTCTCGCCATTAAAAACAGAGCCTCCTTGGGGCGCCTGGGTGACTCAGTCGGTTGAGCGACTGCCTTCGGCTCAGGTCATGATCCTGGAGTCCCTGGATCGAGTCCCGCATCGGGCTCTCTGCCCGGCAGGGAGTCTGCTTCTCCATCTGACCCTCCTCCCTCTCATGCTCTCTCTATCTCATTCTCTCTGTCTCAAAAAAATAAATAAAATCTTAAAAAAAATAAAAAAAATAAAAAAAAAATAAAAAAATAAAAACAGAGCCTCCTTGATTGGCTTGCGCCCTCCCGGCTCTGCCCTGGAGCCCCCTGAGCCTGGAGGTTAGAGGACAAAAGACTCTGCCTGCAATTCCAGACCCAGCCTAGTCTTCCAGCCTAACTCTGGCCCAGCAGATGGGCTCGCCGTGGCCGCACACCATCCCCATGATTTCCCATCTCCACACCATTGGTGGTTCCATTTCCCTGGCCTGGAAGGCATCGACCCTGAAACCCTGAAACACATTACTACAAGCTCTGCCTGCTCCCCCCAGGACATCCGGAGACAGTCTGCTACCGGAGCTCCTAGACCAAAAGCTCAGATTGGGTTGTGGATGCCGTCTGTTAATTATCTTAATGTCTTCTAACCAGAAGGGCAATATAGTTGCTGTTTTACACAAAAAAAAATGTTTAAAGAAAAGGAATCATCCATTATCCTACATAATTACTATTAATTTAAAACTCATTTAAATTAATATATATTACTCTCTAAACTTATAATTTTTTTTCTCTGCACACACGTGCATTTTACAGGTATAAGATCATATATATTAAACATCTTTTAATGTGCAAAAGCGATGCTTCTGCGCCTAGTTTATTGAGCTTTGAGAAAACAGGAACTCCTACTCACCCTTCAAAGCCCAGCCCATGTCACTCTTCCCTACAGGACTCTGATTGGCACAGGCAATAGAACTGCTCTCTTCTCTGGGTGTTGATGACCCATTGACCATACTTTTATATCAGTCCTTACTACTTTGTATTTGGTTTATGCATCTGACTTCCCCACAAGACTGGAAATCTTTGAGACTGGGGACCCTTCTTCTTCTTTTTTAAGGTTTTATTTATTTATTTGACAGAGAGATAGAGCCAGAGAGCACAAGTGGAGGGAATGGCAGAGGGAAAGGGAGAAGCAGGCTCCCCACTGAGCAGGGAGCCTGATGCGGGGCTCCATCCCAGGACCCTGGGATCATGACCTGAGCCAAAGGCAGACGCTTAACCATCTGAGCCACCCAGGCACCCCAGAGACTGGGGACCCTTCTGATAGATTTTTGTGTTCCTAACTGTTAAGGGGAAACTATTCTGACACTTGTTAAAATGGCAAGGAAGATTTGGTTCAAGTGTATTGCAGTAGGGGTCAGGACTTTGGCAGGAGGGGAGAGAGAGAGGGTTACACTCTGAATACAACCAGGACAAGTGGGGATTCACAGCCAAGGAGCGGGGTGGGGTCAGTAGATGGAAAATTACTAAGAAGAAACATCAGATGGGGGATTCTTGCTGAAATGATGTAACGGGATTCTTACTGAAGGCTTAGACATCAGGGGTGCTGTGTGAGGCACTTGATCAGGTATTCAGGGTGATCAGATATCAAGGGTGGGGGCCTCTTGCTAAACTGACTTAGCAGGATTCTTGCTAAAACTGAGCTAGGCAGTCCGAAGACAGGATGGGGCCAAGGTCAAGGCCTTGCTGAGAGGGGAGACTCAGAGGATCCCAATTAAAATCAGTCAGAGAGAGTTTTTGTCACACTACATATTCACTGAGTGTATACATATTGAAGTAAGTATCAAGCATATAATTAAAACACACCCCCACTCTATTTTTTTTACTATCTATGAAAAAAATGAAATTCATAAGTTCCTCTCTAGGGTTTATTGGTTTGAAAAGAAGGAGTTTGGCACCATGCACTGTATCACCCTTGGTGCCCAAAACCCTCTGGAGAGCAAAGAAGCTTTATGAAGACAGGGATCCCCCAGCCTGGCTTCTATTCTGGCATCTTGAACCCCTCAAATCCATTATTTATTCAACAGATATTTATTGAGCACCAACTGTGTGACAGGTAATGTACAGAAAATATAGTATTAATCAAAACAGATCCTGGCCTTTTCTGGGGCCTGCAGTTTCCTGAAGGGAATAAGACAAGTTAAATAAGTAAAATAGATAGTATATCAGAGGGAGGAAAATGAAGTAGGAAAGGGACAGTCCCATCCTTAGACCTGGGCAAGTGGGACCCCCCCTACCTTAGAGGCCTGCCCTGGCCCTTTTTAAGGGTGATGAGTTTGCCAGGCCAAGGGGATCTGCCCCTGGGAGCCTGAATCCCCTTTCTAGACCACACTCTGGTTACTTAGGACCTCAAAAGTTCCTGCTCAAATGACACTGAGTCCACGTCCAGGGCTTGCATGGATTTGCCCTGGGTCTGACCTTGAAGAGTGGAATGGAACACAGGTGCATGTCCCTCCATGCCTGAGGGACATGTATGTGTGAAGCTCCTTGAGGTATTGGGTCAAAAATGGGGGGTGGGAGGAGAAAGGCGACAGGTCATATTTTGGGGCCCATCACTTTTGCTCTTGCTTCAGGCTCTACAGATATTCAGGGCATGCCTGGGAGAATAAGGATAGGGACTTTTTCTGGGGGTGGGGGGTGTCACTGCAACTTTAAACAGGATCATCAAGGAAGGCATCATGGAGAAGGTGACATTTTACTAAAGACCAGAGAAAGATGGGGGAAGGAGTGATGTGAATCTCTGTGGAAGAGTATTCCAGGCAGAGGAAAAGGTAAGTGCAAAGGCCCTGTGGCAGGAATGTGCCTGGCACGTTCAGGAAAAGGAAACGGGGCTGTTTCCCAGGCACCTCAGCCCATGGGGACCTGCCAGATTTGTGTTTGTGCAAGACATAACAGAAATAGGTCTTCCATAAAATATTGAATGAATGAATGAATGGGCCAGTCTCCATGAGGAGCCACTTCCAACAGCACACAGATGCATCTTCCTTTCCTGCTCTGTGCCAAAGGGTATTTCTTGGCCAGCTCTGATATCCCGATGACCAGGGACTACTACTCTTCAGGCCACGATTTTGCCAAACCTGCTGTTCTTAAAAGTTTTTCCCAGTTCCTTCGAGACGCTCTCCTTATCACCTCCACCTTCCTGTTTTCCTCTCCCGGTCAGCACCCTGGATCTCCCCATGGTGTCCCCATATGTCTGCTTGTCCTCAGGGACACCAGTGTCTCGGATGTGGCTGCAGACACAGAGCTGACAGGGGCCAGTGGTGGTGGTGGTGTGGAGCCATGCCCCCCCGGGACTGAGGGGAAAGGGTTAGGGCCTGAGGAAGGAAAGACTCAGAAGCTGGAGACTTGACCTGGTCTCAGCCTAGGGGAACACGTGCGGGTATTTACACGGTAAGAAGAAAAGAAAAAAAAGAACCTTATTTTTAGAGATTGGTCCTGACATTTTGACCTAACATGGAGTCTGGGTCTCCGATTTTCAGCTGGTGGCTTCTGAGCTTTGCTGCTACTACTCCGAGCCTTTCTCCTCAGTCCCTGGAGGTGGACGTGCTCCTTGTGGGGGGAGGAGTTATGCCCCCCCCCTTTCAAGGACATGTAGACGCCACCCCCCACCCCAGGTCTGCCTCTTCCTCACCTCCTTTTGCACAGGTTGTTCCTCTGGGCAAGCCCTCCCCCACTCCTCCGTCCAGGCGCCACCTACTCATGTAAGACTCTGCTCAAGCCTTCCTCCTCTGGGCAGCCTGTCCTGGCCAGTGAGGCTGCGTGGGTATGTCCCCCCCCCGCACTAGAGACCCCAAGCTTTTTTGTTTTGTTTCCTTGATCGGTCCTGGCCTCAACGAGCTCATTTGCTTCCCTTGGTGGCGGAGGCCATTCTTATTCTATGTCCCCAGAGCCAGCATGGGCTGGACACGTGTAGTAGCTGTTCAGACTGTTAGTTTAGTGAACGAATGTGTAGAAAGTGAACCCCGGAACGTGCTCCCTGGAAATTTAGTACGTCCAGGGAGACATCTAATGGTGAAGGAGGGTGCCATGAGAGGGGGCACTTGTTGGGGAGAAAATGGGGGCAGGACTGGGATTTGGCCAGGAGTTTTCATGCAGTCTCTGGAGGCCAAGGAGGGTGGTGCCTGCTGCCAGTGTCGGCAGGGAGGAGTCGGGGAGCTGGAGGGGTGCCTGACCCATGTCTGTAAAATGCTTTAGATACAAAGAGTTCAAAGTTACCATCTAGTAGGAGGTCCAGTCCATTTGGGAGGTAGGCGGGGCTAGGACGGTATGCTCATTACAAAATGGAGAAACTGAGGCTCAGAGAGGCGACTCGACTTGCTCTGAAGGCAGGGTCAGGGCCGAGCCCAGTCTTGGGTTTTCCTGGGTTCTGTCTGTGCCTTCTCACCAGCATCTTGTCCCTCTGGACAGCCTTCTCCTGGGGACAAATATTGACACAGCTGGTGCAGAGAGGACCCAGGGTGTGCGTCAGCTGGTGCCTTCCTTGGGGCTGCTGGCCTCGTGCAGCTCTGGGGTCAAAGCTTCTGGCCTCTTCAGGGGACTTGTAAAAAGCACTCTTTCCACATCTGCTCTCGAAAGGTCCCCGTTGAAGGGGTCTGTGTGACAGAGCTGGTGGGTGGCTGCCAGGAGGTGGTGTTGGAAAGCAGTGGACTTAGCTCCCATCCCCCATTCCTCCTCCAGCTCCTGGGCCCCATTTGTGACAGGTTCTCTGGTTTTATAACTGGCCTCATCTTTCCAGTCTCTCCAGCACTTGGGGGAGGGATAAAAGATGTTTGTAAAATGGGCATTTAAATGAAGTTGACTAACTTGCATGTAGCATTTCATTCAGCATTTTCTCATACATTTTGAGGTAGATATTGTTATTCCCACTTTGCAGGTGAGTCTACTGAGGCATGATTAATAATTATAATTGGACACTTATGAAGTACCCAGGACTTTATTTGAATTACTTATTTAATGATAGTGGCTTCTATTTATTGAATACTTAGTATGTACAGATACTGTTCTAAGCTCTGGACATACATGAACTCATTTGATCTCCATGAAAACCCTGTCAGGTAGCTCGGATGAGGAAATGGGGGCCAAGAGAAGGTCAACAAACCACCTAAGGCCGGAGCAGTGAAGTAGCAGATCTGAGATTCCAACCAGGTAGTCTGACTCATATGGTAAAACCTGGCCCAAGCCACATGGTTAGTCACTGGTGGGGCTGGGATTTGAAGCTAGGCACTCAGGCTCTGGTGACATTGGCAGAGTCAGAGCTGGGGTAGACTCTGTCCGCCAAGTGCAGGTGGGAAAGCTTCTTTCTCGACATCATGCTCTAAGCTGTGCCAAGCAGTTTACCTGCGTGATCTTGGGAAGCGAGAACGCTGTTTTTCCACGCCCGGTTTCTACAAGGAGAGGTTTTCCCTCAGTGCTCTCTGGGCCAGCTCTGACCCACTGCTGGCTGGCATGGGACAGACAAGACCATCTCATTTGGAGTTCCATTAACAGACCAACTTGGTGAATATATTCAGAGCACCATCTCCCTTTTTACTTGTTTATTTCATTTCTCAAAAATGGTCATAATACAAGCAGGAAAGTGGGGTTC